CAATTGCCTTCTTGTCCTGTTATTTTCCTGTAGTTAGATGTTTACATTCAAGAGCTGAAAGAGTTGTGTCTTTGCATACTATTCGTTGTTGTATCACAACAAAAGTATTAGGATGACCAGAAGATGCTACAGGACAACTTCCTCAGGTGTGCTTCATAGACTTACAGTATCTGTCATCAGGAGAATTCAATCATGGCAATTTGCAATGACTTCTCTGCTCTATGATCGTCACTGCCTTCCACATGGTATTTTGGTCTGCTGAATCCATCCATATCTTACAGTTGGAATCATTTCTTGTTATCATTGCATCTTTGGTATCAACTGTGAGAAATCTCAGACCCAGCTGTACAGCTGAGAAAATGGAGACTGGGGGTGAATCAGAAGTACCCCAAAGGACAGCTGTTTTGCCTTATTTATCTGCAGAATACATCCAGCACCATATGTTAAGAACTGAACTAACTTGGTCTTGGTACCACTCCAGTCTGTGGTGATCATGATTTTATCAGTGAAAGGCTGCAGCATAAATGGAGGAAAAATAATCCCTCTTCTCGATAGAGAACTTCTTTTTGTCCAGTTCAGAGGTAATCCTAATTCTCTTTTCACTAAATTTTCTTCTTCTGTTATTATTAAAACCACCTTAATGCCTCCTTACATCTTGTGAGCTATGGTACAGCTCAGAACAGGCTATAGAGTCTGCTGAAATAAAGAGAGAGATAGAATTACAGAATAATTTAGGTTGAAAAAGACCCATAAGATCATCAAGCCTAACCATCCACCTAACACCACCAAGTGCACCACTAGACCATGTCCTTAAGTGTAACATCCACATGTCTATTAAATACCTTCAGTGATGGGAACTCCACACTTCTGTGGGCTTGTTCCCATGTCCATGTACCCTTTTCATTGAGAAAATCTTTCTGATATCCAACTTAAAACTTACCTGGTGCAAATTGAAACCGTTTCCTTGCATAATAGAGACAGTGCTCCCCCTGTTCAGTTATAGTTGGCACAGAAATACCCAACCTAACATATATGGGTTGTGTTTATATGAGCTGTAGTGACTCTGGTGTGAAAGAGCATTTTTAAAAAATCATCTTGGGTTTTGTCTCGCTTCAGTTCCAGAAAGTATTCAGAAAGACACAACTCCTTTCACCCCATTTCTTGACCAACAGCCACATATCACAGATAATAGAGCACTGAAGTTTTGAACGGTAGGATGTTTTTTTCTGAGCTGCTGTAGTGAAGTTTACACAGTGATAAATATGTGACAGATCGCTATCCATTATCTCACTGTCCTGGAATTTTCATTTAAGAAGTAGAGATGAGCAACAAAACATTTGATTGCAGAGGTAAGCCTTACATTCTCTTTGAGGCACCTCAAATTTCATGCCAGAGTAAAGGCTGTGTAGATACTATTACAGAGATATTCTTGGCTTTGGTCCTGAATCATCAGCGAGGATTGTGGATTTACTATTAAAAGAATAAGTGTTTCTTTAGAATCAAAACAGATTACTGTAAAGAAAGTGAAAATTACCAGAACACCAAACCAGTCTGTCTTTCCCAGGATACCAATAGCTAGAAAAAGCAGAGGTCATGTATCATATTTTGTCACTTCATTCTATTGATATTTTTCATGTTTCAGGCAGACATCCAAAGTTGGATACTTTTCCATAAAGGAAAAGCAACAAAAACAAAGTTGCAGTAATAATGCAGCCATTATCAGTTGTTCCCACACCTACAATGTTGATTCGACAACTGGGAATGTGATGCACACCTTTTCCTTTCTTCATGGAATAAATGTATTTAGAGTATCTTTCCATTATTTTAAAGCATCTAAAAATACCTGACTTTGTGGTGTCATGTCATGAAGTTCAAGGAATGAATTAAGGTGCCGATTTTTCTACAGTCTAGGTAGTATATAATATAGGAAAGATTTAGGCACCGGATCTGTCATTTTTGATATGTTGTTAGTCCACCTAAAGCAAGCTTACTCTGTTTGCATGCAGAAGAAACACATAAATCCAGAGAGAAATTCCATCACAGAAAGTCTATTGTGTAAGTCTATTCTGCTGTCAGATGGTGAAAAAAAATTGGTCTGTTGAAACATGTTGTTGTCTTTTTCTTGGAATACACAGTTCTTATACTTTTTTTTTTTTTTAAATACATATATTAGATATATGGCTTCAGTTGAAATTCTTTTAATAACAAACATCTGTATATGGGTAGTAATCAATGGAGCAACAGAGGGGATGAACAGAGATCATATCTTAGCAGTGAGGCTTTTTTATGCTCTGGTTTCTTCAGCCTGTGCAGTGATAGAGGTCTTCAGCTTAAACAGGCATAAATATTTCTTAAGAGCATGCTCACAAACACAAACTAGGATCAGAAGGAAGACAGGTCATGCTTCGTCATCCTCTTCTTACCTAGATCTGTAATCCATAAGAAAAAGTTGTTATTCCATTCCCAGCTATCACATGTGAAAACAGTCGTGGATTTTCTTATTGGTGAATCATGTCGATTCACCCATTGTCTCAGAAAAACTCCACACCTTTCAAGTGAGAGCTATGTTGTGTTTGTTTGGTTTTTTTCACCTGTAAAAATAACAAGAGCTTTTTTAAATGCGATGTCTCATCCATACAGTTCCAAAGAGAAGTTGCTTAAGAAACTAGTTGCTTCTACTCTGGTGCTGTGGAGTCCATGTGCCTTTCACAAAACTCTTCTCAATCTGTGGTGTGAAGTGCTGTGCTGGTTACTGCTGTGCTGGGTCAAAGGGTTACAGTCCCGAGTTTCTCAGAAGCTACTGTCTTCTCAGATGTGTCAGCATAACTGCACATGCAGTCAATTCCTGGTCCCGTTCTATTAAAATGATGTATATTGGGCATTTTAAGAGGAAAAACTATTGTTCAAACTTCTTGGAAGAGCAAGGTCAAGAAGTGAATATATGTGCTGTTGTTAGTACAGTTTGGAGGAGGGATTAGTGTGTATCCAGGACAATAAATTCTTCATCAAGCTCAGCTGCAGCCAATGCAAACTATACGACTACTTCCTACATATTTAGGAATGCGTCTCCCTACACTCTTGATTTAAGCCCTGAAATCCCTGATGGAATTATTTCACTCCCCATTCTCAGAAACACTGCAGTAATAGATGCATCTTTCCATGCTCAGTAACATAAAAAAAAATGTGAAGTTTTCAGCATCTAAAATAAAAATTTCTGTATTCAGGTAGTACCAATCATTTCCTTTTCCAAACCGTAGGCTTAGAAGTCCATTGTGTTGGACACATATGTTTAAAACATCAATATTAAATGATAGTGGTTCGATTTCTCCCTTTTTTCCAAATTTTCTCTGTCATGTCTTCTTTCACATGGAGCTCAATGAGTACACTTTTTGAAGCAAGTATTTTTGTTTTATCCACACTTAAGTTGTGTAAAAAGAAAGATACAGAAGTAAAATGAGAAAGCTGATTTAGTCTCCTCAAGGAGTAGTAATAGATGAATTAGGAAAAGAAGATTTAACGTCATTACTACCCTTAGCAATCTGTCATTGTGATCCTAAGTCAGCAGGTTATGAATGGGTCTTGATTATAAAAAGATCTTGACAACAAATGGATGTATTGGTATAATTAACATTGATCTTAATTGTTTACACTGAGGTTCTTCAACGTTTCTTATGGTTTTAATAAACAACTGTTATGGCACCGTTGTTAGTATAATAATTGCTGTTGTCATGATTAGTAGAATAATTTTAGCACCCCTTATTATTCTTGAAAATTATTTTTCTGAAATTATTAACATTGCTATGACCTTCTTTACAATGAGGTCAAAGTTTGGATTATTTGGGAATTTGGAACCTTTACTACTTTGATTCCATTTACAACTAAATGTTTAGATTAAAGGTAGAAAATCTGTAATGTTCCAGCTCCCTCTTTCTTCATTGCTCCTGCATGATAACACCTTTCACACCATGGTTAGGAAGGGCCTCTGTTCTACTCCTTTACGTAGTGGAACAGCATGTCTCCTTTTTTATGAGGTCAGGGACTGGCCATTCCTATTGGACAACAAGTTTTCCTTTATGTTATGTATATCCTGACTTGGCCACAGCAATCAGAGGTGAGAATTATGGTCAGAAACAGTGGTTTTCCCTAATGTATAGCAGCCCTTTGAATTCAAGAAGTGCTGTTGTATCGACAAGGTTACTGTCTGCATCTCCCCTCTCTGCAGTACCTACAAAATGTTTCAGACAACACTGGGATATTTGTGAGAGTTTTTTTGCTATTGGTAAGGTGGTGTTTCTATATCTGGTTATTAAACTGCTATGGAATGTTCTTGCTTAAAATATTTCTTCAAAGTTGCAAAAGGTTTGTAACTTTTTTCTTAATTACTCAAGATATACATCAAAGAGCCCACTATTATATTGATTGCTTGCAAACAAAAGTTAGAGAATAGCTCAAGCATGCTTAAGGGCATCTATTTCAGCATCTGTCTTGTAGCACAAAAAGTGTCCGTGTCATCATATGCTTCTGGGAATACTCCGTATTGTTCAAGTGATTTCAATAAACTTGTCACATGCCATCTCCCTTCTAAAATAGCTGCAGGAATAGGCAATGTAACCTAATGTAATTTAACACAGAAGTCTTATGATTAGTTAAGTATTTTTGTGTGCATTCTCAAAATCCATTCTGGAAATGTAAACCAGTATAAGGAATGAAAATCTTCAGAGAAGGAAGCAATAAATGGTAGTTATTAAAAATGGAGCAGCTAAGTGAAGAATAATAGCACATAATATGTTTTTCTTGTCCTATAAGCAACTTTGGTATCAGCACTGTCATCTTGGGTCTGGGGGCAGGTGGGTCTCGGCTTCCTGCTGCACCGATGGATGTAGAACCACAGTAACCATGTTTATTTCTGCTCAGTGGAGTTGCATGCTGCTACAATGTTTATTGTATGTTCAATTCTCTTAGTTCCGCAGTATGATCACATAGCTACATGTGTTTTTCAGACAAGAAGCCCTTCTTGCTGCCATTAGTGAAAAAGATGCCAATATTGCTCTGCTAGAGCTTTCATCCTCTAAGAAGAAGACTCAAGATGAAGTGGCTGCCCTCAAACGAGAGAAAGATCGCCTTGTGCAACAGCTCAAGCAGCAGGTGAGTAGAGGGAGGATAGGAAAGAAACCAGTTCATAATTTAATGTGAGGTTATTATCTTGATTTTTGGAACTAATAATACATAATCTCCATCTATCAGAACAAAAAGTGCATAAATATGGACTTTAAACTAGCTACTCATCATGAGCTCTGTAAAACATGGTGGGAATGAAACAGTCTCAATTATAAAGGAAGTTTCTTTGTGTCCCTGCCTCATTATTAAATGTATGGTACTATATGTAGGACTCTATGATTTAAAAAGACGTTTATCTTTAACTTCCAGAGGCACATGGAAGTGCAGTGATAGTACTTGTGGTGACCTGTATTTTTCTTGTCAGAGAGGAAGCATAGACTGAAGAAAATTCTTGCTATAAAGGTCAAATGCATCTGTTACACTGCACAGTCTCTGCTGTGGTTCCTAATCTATGACAGAAGCACTATAAGGGAATGGCAGCTACTTGAGTGGAATCCGGGAGGTCTCATGCTAGTGAAGAGATTGGTCCCTTTCTATTTCTGTGCTTTCCCTGTTTCCAAGTTCTGTATGTTTAAGCAAAATGATCAGAAAAAACATATTTCGATTCAAGCTTTTAAAATTATGTTTTGATATTAAATGCAAAGCGAAAGATACAGTGCCAATGAAAGAATGAGGAAGCAGAAGGCAAATTTGTCAGTAGGAGATCCAGAAGGTGTGTAGATTTTTCACTTTAACACTTTTGGTGGATTATGCTATGTTCCTCACGTGCCACATTCCCTGAAAGAGCATATAATACTACTGTCAATCCAGTAGCAACTTCTTCAGTGTCACTGATTCCATCTTCATCAAGTTCTACGTGTATTTCATTTGTCAAACATTATTTTTCTTGCTGTCAAAAACTAAGACAAAAGCAGGTCTGGTCCCTAATAAGGGATTCCTCTGCTTCTTCCTTAGAAAATACAAGTAGGTTACTGGTCCTGTATTTTTAAGATGACAATTATGTGCTGTTTAATTGTGCAGCAAGGGTTGTGCAGTTTTACAGTAGCATTAAAAGAAGTAGAAAATACCATTTACCCATTTACTTTTGAGCAAAGGTTGTAACTACTTTCACTCATCACCCAGATGCCCTCCTACTACGACAGGATTCTGAAGTGTTGACAGCAACTGTACTTATTTTCTTAGAGTAACTGTCTGTAGGTGTAACAGCCTTAATATACATTATTACTCGTTTTAAGACAAAATTGGCATTTTTTTTTATTAGCAGTTCTTGTCACAAATTTAAATTATAGCTCCTTTATGCACATTGTTCTTCCTCGTATCCTTCTGATTATCCTTGGTTGGTGAAGAGAATGGTCTTTACGGTTGGTTTTTGTGTTTTTTTTCCTACTGAATACTTGTGTGTATGCAGTTTGTATATTAACATTGTGATTTTCTGTAGTGTCTTAAGTTTCACCTAGATGACTTTTAGAATGTTGGTAGTTCATATCAATAGTTTTCAGTGCTGATAAGTCACATAATATCGTATATTGTTCCTTCAAAAGCATTTCTCTGAAGGATGCCCATTCTAACTGCTTTTATGCATAGGTACAACGTACTTAATTTTCAAAATAAACAAATGCATGAGAGATTAACTTGAAATTTTTCTTGCTATGACCTGTATGAATTGAGGCCACTTCTGGTTGGACTAGATGATCTTATAGGTCGTTTTCAACCTTGTGATTCTATGATTCTATGATTCTGTGGACTTACATGTTGTCTGTTTTTTGGATCAGTAGCCCCTTTTTAAAAAAATCATTGGAATATCCAAATGCCTTTGAAGTTTCTGAATCCAAAATTGCCCTTATCTGTAAAGACTCTTAATTGTTCCTCTTCTTAAAAGAACCTTGAAGAAAGCATGCAGTACATCACAGTCTCCTCAAACATCTCTGCTCCGAGCATTATATATAAATAGTATGTGAGCAGTATAAGTACAAATATAAAGTCATAGACAACAGGACTGTGAGGTACTGTCCAGTGCATCTAAGGCAGAATATATGTTTATATATAAACAATTTAAACTCTATTAAAGCTGTACTTGACATATCCTTATTTGATGTAACAGAGATTTGACATAATCTATCCTACATTGTAAGAGTATATCATCTTTTGTCTTTCTTTGTGTGCCACCTTCAATACAAAAGAAAAAATTTTCAAAAGAAAAGCTCTTCAGAATTGCTTATTGTGGACAGTAATTCTATCAACAGACAATTCACCAACTCTGTAAGATATAGGGGACATGACATCACATTTATTTCTTCAATACAAATAGTTTTAATATGTAGTTTTTCTGCATTGAGTCACCAACTCAAATCACCAACTACAGCAGCTCCAGACACAGGAGATGGGGCAGAAGACATAGCTATGAAAAGGCTATGATATTTTCTGATTTGATGTTATTTTTTACGATTCTAATTACAAATATTTTCAAAGGGAAAATCATTTTTCCATGTGCTTTGCAAATAATCTGTTTGTTTTTCCCTTGTGGTTCTCTTTGGTAATTACAGGTCACCCAGCTGAACAGCCTTGTGTTTTCAAAAACAGTCACAATGCCTCTTCATCAGTTTAAACTTTCTCTGAGTACATCCTACTCTACATCTCGAACAAAGGTCCATCTCTGTTAGCAGTTCCAGGGACTGTATCACATTTCAGGAATGTCTTAGAAGTTTAGCTGCAGTTCCTAAAATTCCATTAGAAATCATGAGTGAAAAATCAAACTTGTATTAAACAGTGTTCAAGAAAAACAAGCGGTGCTGGTTAATCAAGATCTTCTGGAAGACTCTGAAAAGCAACTCTGGATCTTAAAAAGTTGATTCATTCCTTCAGATTCAGAGTTGGGATCCTGACCTCAGTATTTCCTTCCTTGTGTCTTCAATACTATTTTAGGACTGTTGAGATCCCTGATAAGTATGTTGTATTTCAGTCCATCCCATTTCAAGGAAACACTTACAGTTTGTTGTGGGAAAGCAGTTCTTTCGGTTGGCTAGAGAGCAGTGTTGACTAAGAGGTTCCAGTTTCCATGTACGTAGGATGCAAACAGAAGTGCTGAGCAATATCGGAAGGAGGTGGTTTGTGTAAAGAGTTACGCATACCGTGGTGAGCACCATGGGCCTGATTTACGAATCTGACAGCGAGCTAGAAAAGAGCTTCTGACAGAGATAACTGTTTAGAAAAGCAGTTTTCTGATCACATTATATTGAATGTGAATGGATCTAATTGTTGTCTATGTTGGGATTTCAGATTATGCCTTTTCATGGCTTGTGCTGGTTATCGCTGAGTGGCTACAATAACTTCTGTTGTTAGCAGACTGACTCACTGTTAATTGACTTTTCTTAGCGTATATAAAGATGCAACTCTTTCCTAAAACAAGAGCAGTCTATCATTAAGTCCCAATTTACATCTTAAGAAATAATTTCCATGTTCTTCTGCCCCACAATTTCAAATGATTTTTTCTTACTTAAAACTAGTTGTGAAGACAGAGATTTGTCAATGGAAGATCATATTGATACTTGAAGATTCTGTGATTATTCTTTCCTCTGTCTCTTCCCAACACTGTGTCCTATTCCAAGCCGCTCGCCTGGGAAGGGTATTACTATGAAAGAGAAGGAAGGAGTGCTGCCAAAGGCATTTTGGTTCTTTAATATACATACTTAAAGAAATTAAAGTTTGGATGAAGAGAGGCATTTCGGAAAGAGGATATGGCATGAATGTTGTTTTAATTTAGAATTTCTAGGCTCTGAATTGCAGGAATGTGCCTCAATATAGAGACCATTTCCTAATGAGGCACTCAGCATTGACCAGGCTTTCCAGTAAATGGAGCTGCCTGTTTCATATTGGTTGTCAGTTTGCATGAGGGATTTCCTCTATCATTGGAAAGGGAGGCCAATTGCAGGGCGAGGGTCACCAGCTAATGTGGTCCCAATTTACTTCCTCCCAAAGTACTTTGTCTCCTTGACTGGTTCATGGCGAAAGAGCGGTTGGGAGGCTGCCCCACATGAGGAGGCCAGGGCTGATGCAAGAATACAGAGCTGATGGTTGCCTAACACAGTCCAGATGTAGTGTGGCGAGCGCCAGCCTCAGTGCTCAGTTTATATGCCATACAGAAGTCCCTGCAATGTGTGTCATGCTGGAATTGAAAGAGACCTGAGGAGCTTTGTGGCAGCATGTCCACCACTGTCCTGTTAGAAAAGAGCATATTTACCATTTATGCATTTTTTTGTCAAAGGGAATTTTAAAAAGTCAGGATGTTTTTGTTGTAGCTGTGTGAAATCCTACTTCTTAAGTTTTGAGTTGTAAATGGAAGGCATATATGAATGGGCTGAGGTTTTCCTGTCTGTGGGCTTTGAGTCTCAAATGTTTGGGGTTTTCTACTAGGAGCTATTTGGAGTAAAGATTGTCATTTTCTGTGTTTATACAATGTCTAGCACAGTGGGGGCCTAACTTGACCAATATCTCTAAACATTATGATGCAATAAATGTCAAGTCATTAGTATGTAGTAGTCATACTAATGAAATTGTTAGGAGGCTCTGAACTTGTATCTGTGTCTGCCTTCTGAGCTTAGAGTGTAATTCCATTGAATTGTTTGTAAATCACCCTACTCATACTATTACATGATTCACCATACTTACTTGAATTATTATATAAAGATTTCGTAATTATTCTCAAATATTATTGTGATATCAAAACTAGCTTGGTTCAATTATATTGATGATGGAATCTCTAAATTTTCATTTTAGATGATGTGATGCCATGTTGCCCTGCAAGCTGGGTTGCTGAGTACATTTGTATTTTGCTGCCTTTTCTTACATAAAGTTCCCTAATCTATAAAACGTTGAATAATCTTTTAAAAACATTTACAGTTTTGGTCCCGTACTTTAGCTAAGCTTCCTCCTTCACATTTCATAAACATGAAGTTTATACTATCATGCAGGTTCTTAATGAAAAACATACTGAATAGTGCTGAACTCAGGACAGGTGTCCATGAAACACA